CAATGTAGCCCCCATACTCTATCTACTTCAGGGGGACTATAAACCCTAAACCCTAAACCCTAATCCCTAAACCCTAATCCCTAAACCCTAAACCCTAAACTCTAAACCCTAAACCCTAAACCCTGATCTGGGGGACAGGCGGTGGCTGTCTGTCGGCCTGCCCGTAGCTGAAGAATAGAGCCATCTGCAAGGTCTACCTCAGATCCGCAGTGTTTCAAAATGGGGGGCTTTGGGCGGTTTAGGGTTTAGGGTTTAGGGGGCTTTTTAGGGTTTTGGGTTTAGGCTTAGGGTTTAGGGTTTAGGGTTTAGGGATTGGGGAACCCAAGGGATATTATGGTGGGTATAGGAAGTACAGGGAGCTTGTAGAAGTCCTTAATAAGAATCATACAGCGATGGTTTTCAGAAGTACACCCATGCCTGTCTCGTGAGGCCCTCAGCTTCGAGTTGCTTGACGAAATTTGTATCTCTACAGTCTTTCAGGGCGACGCCCCTAATCGATTTATCATCCCATAGATGATCAATTGATTCCTAAATTCGCTAAGGGTACCTCTGTTTGGAAAACCCACACTTTTCGGTATGCCGTCCTTTGCTGGGTCATGCGGATGAACCTTGTCTGAGACACGCCTGCAGCATCAGCAACAGCCGCACTTTTTGGAAGAGCACTCCATCCTGCCCTCGCGAGCCTGCGCATCCCCGTGGCACTCCTAGCTACAGCATCGTCAAACCTATGCGGTTCCTGGAAATCCTGCTCGGGCATTCTCAAGCCTCGGAAGTTCAAGCCTTGTCTGAAGCATGGCGGCGTCGGGCCATAGCACGTCGTTCAGCGAAGAACTTGAAAAAGGAGCGTTCCTTGATCAAGCGTGGGCGGGAATTCTCAAAATTCTACAGTTCACACCTGTGCCTCGTGAGTGCCACCAATTAAAGGTGCAAGTTGTTTTCCCAGAGTGTTCTGACAGACAACACAGTGGACAGCGACTCCACATGCGGAAGCCTGAATTACCTGCTTTGGGTGATGAAGGGAGAGGAAGGTGCGGGCGTTGCATTAATGTCCCCTGGGTGACGTCCAAGGCCATACCGAGATGAATACTGGAGAACTTGACAACATTCAGGAATATTTCGGGATTATTTCAGGACATCTCTGCGCCTTAATTACTACTGACACGCAGCAACTTGACCACAAAGATAGAACCCAACGACTTCACTAAAACAGAGCAAGCATCTGAGTACGAGAAGCACGACATCATGAAGTTTGGAGAGGCTTCTTTGCCGAACAGTGAGACACATCCATCCAACATCCCCTCTGGTTCAACGAAATGACCGCCATTTGCCGGCACGTCGATTTTTGGAGCGGCTGACAAGCCAAAATCACTGCTGTGCTTGCCAGAGCAAATAAAGGCCGACTTTAGGCCGGCGGAATGGGCAGCTTGCATTAGGTTCAGGGAGTCTCCCACAACGAGTGTGTTCTGTTCACGTGCCTCCGCGAGAGTGCTCAATAGCTCCAACGCTGACTCATGCCAGATCACTGCATCATAGTGGACACCCACGTTTAAGCCCAGCTTGCTTAGGTCAGGAGAACCGAGCGATTGCAGGATAACCACTCGAACACCGTACTCCTTCAGCTCGAGCAGACAATCCTCTGCCCAAGGAAACGACTTCTCGAGGCTGTATATGCTTCCCTCACCTGCCACAATGATCTGGTTGAACTCAGTCACGACTTCTTGCATTCCGCCTCCAAGCCAGCGAGGCCATATGTTTACCTGGGCCTTGTGATCAGAATAGGCCCGCAGAGTTTTCTTGGAGGAAGCCCACATCCCCGTCGAAGCGGCGATGGCTGCTGGCAGCAGGCTGCTCTGCCGGCTCCTGCGCCTTTCACATGGGGCAGCATGGAGGGGTGGGACAGTGGAAGGGACGGTGACACGACAGCATGGCGCAGCAAACTGCCAGGTTGGCAGCTCATGTTGCATCAGCATCTTGAGCCGCTGACAGAAGTCAAAGATGGAGGGCACACACACCACGTCTGAGATTGTTGGGATGCCTAGGATAAGTCCTCCTCAAAACGCACCCTCCGTCCCCTTGATTCACTATCAGAAGGCGCTCTTGGGCCCTGGCTTCCTCGCAGGACTTTATCAGAGCTTCGAAACGTCGCCGAAGCCAACAAACATCTTCTCTGGCAGCAGAACCAGGGGTAGCTCCTTAGACTCTCGTAGACTTGCCAAACGAGCAACTAGACACCTGAGCGAGTATGTGCCCTTGGTGACCCAGAGGAGAGATAGGGATTTGAAAGCCCTGCCAATGATCGTAAGGGGCACTTTTGCGAGACAACAATGTATGGCCCAGGTCTTGAAATGACTACAGGTACTTTAGCATCAGGCATCGTCAATTGCAAGAACCTGCAGAGCATCTCTGGGCTTGAACAAGAGTAGCCGACAGTGGCACCAGAATTGCAAAGAGACTGACATGTGAAATGAGACCCAAGCCGTCCCTGAAATACAACAAAAAGGGAGTCGATAACCGTCCGGGATGGCTCACTGCATGTGTCTACTTCCAACAGGAAATCGCATGCTCAAAGAGCATGGTTAAACAGGCGGCCGTTGCTTGCTGTGTATGAAGTGATCCACAGCTTGTAGAAAGCCAGAGGGCGTGTGTGTGTCTATATATATATATATATTTCTAAAAGTTACCTGGTGGGCTTCAGGTGTGCATAGCGCACCTACTCCCAAGCTCTGGGATGTCAAGCACTGTTACTCTCGTCTCTGACACCTGCAGTCAAGGCTCTCTTCATCCAGTGTTCTGGATGGCAGGGAACGAGTTCTATGTGTGGCACAAATACTGGCACCTGACAGGCTTCTCAAAAAAAACTCGGCACATGCGAGCAGTTCAAAAACTTCCCTGTGAGTCTCACCCTAAATAGTAGTTAGCATTTTCTTTTTCATTATCCCTATATAGAACTTTCTAGTTTCTAAACCCGATATAAACCCTACATTATCCTTGCTTTTCGCTTGTCCCTATATAACCCCATATAAACACCACATAACCTTTGTATAACCCCTTCAATCCCTTTCAGGCACCCTCAACCTTTTGGAGGAATGTAGCAGGAGAAGGTCTTCCTTGAGGACAATTGCTAGGGTTTAGGATTTGGGGTTTAAGGCTTACGGATTAGGAGTTGGGTTTAGGGTTGACGGTTTCGGGACTCGGATTTAAAGTTCAGGCTTTAAGATTTAATAATTATTTAGGGTTCTCACTTAAGTAACCCGCCCTAACCCTAAGCCCTAAACCCTAAGCCCAAAAACGTAAGTCTAAACCCTAGACCCCAAGCTCTAAACCCTAAATCCGAAAACTCTAAATGATGGTTTGCATTTTCTTTCCCATTATCCCGATATAACCCCAGTATATACCCTAATATTATCCCAATATAACCCTAATATAACCCCAAGGCCAGAATGACGCATGCAATGCAAACCCTAAACCCTAAACCCCTAAACCCTAAACCCTTAAACCCTAAACCCAGATGCCTGGCGACAATGGCTGAGCTTCACCACGCTGAAACAAGGAACACCGGCCCAGGTGGCCAAGCCAGCCTTAGAAAGTTGGGGTTCCTTACAGGATTTAGGGTTTAGAGTTTAAGGGTTTAGGGTTTAGGGTTTAAGGGTTTAGGGTTTAGGGTTGAAGGGTTTAGGGTTTAAGGGTTTAGGATTTTTGGTTTAGGGTTTAGGTATAGGGGTATATGGGGTTATGTAGGGCTATATAAGGGTATGTAGATTCTTGAAGGGCATATGGGGGTATATAGGGGTATACAGGGTTGTGTAGGGGTATACCGAGGTATAGAAGCTTATAAGGATTATATAAGGGCATATAGGGTTGTACAAGGACTATCGGGGGCTATACATAGGGGATTCAGGTCTAGGGCTTCAAGATGTGGGGCTCTTGGTTCGGGTTTAAAATTTAGGGATCAGGAGTTAGGGTTCTAGTTGAGGGTTGAGGTTTAAGGTTTTGGGCTTAGTGTCTAGGCTTTAGGATTTACGGTTTTTCTTCGGCCTAGGGCAGGTGCAGACGTGAGGGTCCGAGTTCGTGAGCATTTTCTAGTACCCAGGGGCCAAGGTTTTGCCACCTTCCTTCTGGGAGTCTGCGCTGCAAGCCCGCATTGAGCTATAGTCTAAACCTTGACCCCTAGAATAGTCCCCTCTGTATAACCCTCTTTTTCACCAGCCTTTAAGGAGTTTAGACGACCATCGCCCACATGGAATCCAACCCCCGTCCAAGTGCAGGACACTGAGGGCGATATGCCCACGGGGAACCTTGGCGAAAGCATCTGCTTCAATGTTTAGGGTTTAGGGTCTTGGGTTTGTTTCTGCGCCATTAAACCCTAAACTTACTCAGGGTCAGTAGGGAACCAGGGAATATATGCATATATATATATATGTATATTACATAGGGATTCCCTGATTCCCTACTAAGCACCAGCAAGTAAACCCTAGTTCCAGAAGCTGCAGACCTTGGCATCCCCCGCGAGCCGCAGCAAGTAGGCATTTGGTGCCGCTGCCATGGGCGCAGCGGCCGCAGGCCTCCAGGCTTTGCACGTTTGGGATTCCAAGGAACTCTCAGTCACACCTTGGGCGGTCTAGGGTGTTTAGGGTTGGAATGGCCAAAGATACTCGGTAACAGTATGCGTGCACATAAGGTACGACCACGCGAGCTGAACTACATGGATGGGTATCCAGCAAAATCCGACTTTGCCTGGGCACAGCCACCCAAATGCTTAGAAGCTGGCGCCCAACGATACCAGGCAAAAGCCTCTGTAAAAAGAACGACGAAACTACGGCCTGGCTGACTGACTGCTATGCTTTGTGAAAAGATTGAGGCCTCGCCAGGACACGCGCAAAAAAGGTGTGATCCTGGACAAAACTGCAAAACCCTTTGGAAACTCTGTCAAGAGGGTAGAGTGCGCAGTATAAGCTCATCCACACACGCTGGGAAAGCTCATTCAGAGTGTTACCAATTCAGGGTATCGTGTCGCGAGATTGCTGCAAGCGGTAGAGAGTGAGTTGCGGGGCCAAGTTGGAGTTTGAAGTTTGGGTTTTGGATTTGCAGTCGTTGGTTGTCAAGATGCGATTCGGGATGAAATGTACTCTTGCATGACACTACAGGATCCCCTTATGATCCTAGCTCACTCTCATAAACCTGGAGAGCCGGCGGACCAAGATCCTGATGCTTTTTCATAAACCTGAAACCCTGAAACCCTACCCGCAAGCCCTGAACCCTAAATCCAAAATCCCCAAAACCAGAAATCCCCTCAATACAAAAGACCCTTGGCAGCCTTTCCGGCACTGCGGCTTCCGATGGCAGGAGCCAGGCCAGACAGCTCTTGCAGCCACCCCCTGAGAAGTCGTCCAAGTCCTGCGAGCTAAATTAGTTTAGGTTTTAGGGTTTTGGGTGTTGGTGTTATAATTATTATATAAGATTATAGGGCTAGATAGGGGTATATAGGGGTAGAATGGAGAATCAAGCAGAAAAGATGGAAAATGAAATGGGAACCGGGGTTATGTAGGGATGGTATAGGGTCTATGGCTGCGAACCATGTGGATATACTAGGAGATGCTATGAGGAATCTACAGGGTATAAAATAAAAGGGGGTCTGGAAGATATATGAGGGTATAGATAGGTTATACCCGGGTATAGAGCTTCTTTCCGTAAGGACTATTTGGTAGTTAGAAGGGGGTATATCGAGACACAGGCTTTAGCTGTACCAGTATGAGTTATCATATATTCCAAGGCCTGTCGCGCAAAACTGCTTCTGATTTGAATGCTTTCCTACCTTGCCTGCAGCACTAAAACCTTAAACCGGGTTTATTTGCAGTTTGAGGCTTTTGTGATTGGGAAATCCAATTCTTTAGGACTTCCAGGCTGTAGCCTATCCATTTTAGGCCAAATGTTGATATCATCTCGTACTACGACCCCTAGCCTGTAACGAACGTGGATAAGGGCTTGGCATGGGCATCTGAACCCGATATGAGGCACACTCAGTATTACTTCTGTAGCTACTAAACCTAGAGGCTTATGGGGCCATACATGCAGGCACATGACCCAACCCTTGTATCCATCCAAGCTACCGACCCAACCCTTGTATCCATCCACCTAAACCCTAAACCCTAAAACCTTAAATCCCTAAACCCCGAAACCCTAAACCTCACATGGTGACAGCGGTCTTTGGCAGTGGCTCATATGATACCAGTTACCTGCACCTTTGCAAGGTACGGGCACTATCTAAAGTATATAGTCCCCCTTAAGTAGATAGAATACGGGGGTTATATTGGGACAATGGAAAAGAAAATGGAAAATTACTATTTAGGGTTTTGGCTGTTTAGGGTTCAGGGTTTAGGGTTTAGGGTTTATAGTCCCCCTTAAGTATATACAATATGGGGTATATGGGGATCTTATTGTAATATACCCAAAGCCATATTCTACCTACTTAAGGGGCACTACACCTTTTTTGAACATCAAGCCTTACTCCCATGGATCACGATGAGGCTCTGCTCAAACATTCTCCCGCCTGAGAGCCCTCGTTCAGAAATCGGAGAGCAGTTACCCTAGCCATGAAACACCCATGGTTCTGAAAACGATGGAGGTACGTTTGTTCTAAATGGCTCCTCCGGCGCAACCTTGCCAGATGGGGTCGACGACTCCTTCACGGAAAAGCATCAAACATGGGACGGTCTTCACAAAACCCATCAATACATGGAGACTTGACTGTTTTGGACAAACATCGGGGGACCCTCTTGTGGATCAAGTCGCAATTGTGAACATTTTGGCGGATAAGATCGTTCTGTCCTGCAGTCACCCGCTTGCCACAAATACTCAATGAAAAAAAGCGACCCATACTTTCTGAGAAAAAAAGGCGGCTTCCATGCAGAGTCCGTCCTCTTCCAAGCGAAGAACGCGGAAGGAAAAAATCTCTTCAGTCTTGCCAGCATTCCCAGTAATGGGCACCTTGCATGAGCTACAGATGAAAAAACCCACGAATAGAAAGACCATGGGTTTCCTGACTGCCTCCCTGTACTACACCCGCTAAAGTTCCCATTTAACTAGCCTTGCTCAACGCCAAAGAAAATACAAGCATACTGCCCCACGAACCCCTTCAGTGTTGCGCGATAATTTCTGCCTAACACCTACGTATCATATACAATGGTTTCTGGCAACAGTCCCTGGGAATGGGGTACCAAGGAAGCGAAAATCGTCACCTCATGGCTCCTGCGCTGCAGATACTAAAGTGCAAGCCAACCCCTAGAAAGGTACACTTAGATGGATAGCCATAAGGGAGAATGGTGACTATGTAAGCATTCTCGTATTGTTGGTCCACGTAGGGCAAATTGCGAAACACGAGTGTACCAATTCCGTTTTGGGAACTGACCTTGGCTACAAGTTGGGGTTTCCCTACCCGGATGATTGTCTGACTGAGTAAGACTACCTGCTATCCCCTGTAACCCTATCACAAACCCCAAAATCCCACGTTACTCTGTAGACTAACTAAGTCGAAAAAGCCTCCAAGTACCTATGCTGAGCCCGCAACGCTCTCTGCGGATCGCCGCCGCGACTCGATTGCGAACTCCTGCATCCGCGTGAGATTAAGGTTTGGGGTTTAGGGATTCGGGTTTAGGGTGCATTCCGAATTCTTCTCGGTACAATATCTGAGAAGTCTCAATAATTCATTTGGATGGGTTTCTGCTCTAGTTCCGCGGCTCCCCTTTTCTCTTACGAGGCTTCTCTGGACAAGTATCTTGCGACTGTGCAAGGTTTTCATACAAATAACAACCGGACTTTTTAAAAACACAACTTTGAAACAAAGGTCGCTCGCAGGGTGCCCGAGAGTACCTTTGTAGGGAAGGGCGGTCATCGCTATCTTGACACACAGCCACACGCAGCGAGGTCCGTGTCACGGCCAAGCACAAAGCAAGGAGACCTGAAAGCAACATTTGGTAGTTTCCCAAAAGATGGGGACCCCAATATAGCCCCAAATACTATCATCCTTATTATTGGGACTCCCAAAAGGGGTACCCCCTAATTTTGCGAAACCCCCATGCACCCAGCTACCCCACTGGCTCGCCTCTTGCTTGCTGGGCATGAGGAATGGACCCCTGCAATAATCCTTATAAAGCCGCATAGGAACTCCATTCACAACCTAAACCCTAAACCCTCTATAAAGAGTTTCCTTCACTGCCTACGAAGCAGAGGCATGGCACCAGACAAAGCAAAAAGGAAGAACTTAAATTAAGGTACCATAATGGGTATATATATATATGTATAAACGAAGAATGAATATACGTATATATATATATATAGTAACTAATAGGGTTTCCCCAATATGAAGTCAAGGGCCGAGCTTGTTGGAGTCGGCAGCATCAACGCGTAGCTTGGCAACCATCTGTCCGTGCACCTGAACATCGCAGATCTCCTCCATGAGCAAGGCAGGACTACCGGCATAACTTCTGAGATTGAAGAGCTCCCTGTAGCGAAATGCCCCCACGTGAGGCTATTGTTACAAAACAAAAGGTCACTGAATTTTGAAAGATCTTGTGCTGAGAACGCCGCCCAAACAGGAAACGTCAGCTGTGGCATCAGCACTGCGACCTCTTGCAAACATCAGGAAATGCGAGCTGCTCTGTTGTCGCCAGATTTCTCTTCGGATATTCGTGTCTCCACCATCATCCAGAGAAGGGTGCTGCTATGACTGTAACGGCCACTTTCCCATGAGATGAAGTGCCGTGGCCAGTTTTTGTCCACTATTACAAACCGTAGTATCATGTCTACCTGCTGAGCCATGGCAGGACTCGTTGCACAAACCCTGAAAGCAGCCTAACCCCTTTTGAACCTCATGCACCCCAAGACAATCCTGCAAACCCGCAAAGTGCGCCTGTGACAGCAGGTTTTCCTCAATGAAGCTGGCTTGCAGCTCCACAACCTGTCAACCAAAAATGTAAGCAAGTGTGCCGGTGTATACATATATATATATACATGTATGTATAGGGTCCTGCTTGCATATGGGGTGAAAAAGGGGTCTCAAGGATCTAATACACCAATAATGGAGAATCTAAGGGAAAGTGAATGGAGACTGGATTCTATGGGGGCTGATAAGGATAGGGATAAGGGTTTCCCAAGATCAGGGGTACCATTTTGTGGGTCCACAATATAAGGACCATATTATGTTTGGGTCTATATTGGGCCCCCCTATTGATGGAATCTACCACATATATACATATATATATATACATACATGAAATGGTAGGTTGTCAAAATTGTGATCACGCTTGGGCCCCCTAACATATGACGGCTCCTAATATTCAGAAGCCCAAGAAATGTAATTTTGACTACCCCCGATTTGCAATGGGGGGTCACATGGGCACGTGCAAAAAGTAGGACACTGTATACCTCTTAATGCCCAAATGAGCCATCGTCTAAACTCCTAGTATCCCCCTTAAAAACCCCTATAGTAGTCCCCTATATCATCCCCTATATAGCCCCCTCTAAGGAGTTTAGACTACAGCTCACATAATAAGGGGACTACTATAGGGGTTATGGAGGGGGATACTAGGAGTTTAGACGATGGCTCTACAGTGTCCTACTTTTCGCACGTGCCCATGTGACCCCCCATTGCAAATCGGGGGAAGTCAAAATTATATTTCTTGGGCTTCTGAATATTAGGAGCCGTCATATGTTAGGGGGCCCAAGCGTGATCACAATTTTGACAACCTACCATTTCATGTATGTATATATATATGCATATATATGTGCTTTGTATCCTAAAAATGCAGGCGTGCGAATAGCCCTCATAGCAAGTTCTGGGATTGCAGTGTGTTGGAACCACACAAGTCGGATCGCCTCGAAGTCATCAATGCTGTTCCTGACTTGCAGGCGCTTCAGGGAGAGTGGAAAAAGGAAGTCCTTTACAAACACCATTGGGCATTTCCATAAGTACGGGCCCCAAGATAAACCTGCATAAACAATGACCCTTACTACAGGGACTCCCAAACAGGGACCCAATTTTTGGAGATTCCATATATGATCCCATGATAAACAATACTTCCTGTATTTTCCCCCCAATTCCACCTAAGCAAAAGCAAGTGAACACCATGGTCCGTTTAACGAAGGCTTTTGTGATTCTACCTGTGACAGGAGGCAAGAGGGTACGCTTGTTACAGCTGATCTTGTCGAGTCGCGGTTGCACCATCACGAACTTGGCCACAGGGGCCGCATGCGAGAAGGCATCAACCTGCTCACCTTCCTCCAGCCCCAGACATTCCGCGAAAGTCTTTGAAAGCACAAGCCTGCCACGCGTGAGAGCATTGTCACCCACCCATCCGACGAACACATCGCCAGAGGCACGCTGCAGTCGCAGAGTTCGACAGAACTCACGCTTGGGGGTGCGGAATAGCTCGGAAGCATCGCTGCTATGCAAGGATGCATAGCAGCTTGGTTTCTCGCTAAACTCCACCAACAGCTTCATCGGACCTCATCCCGGTGGCCAAAATGAAGCAGCGCATTCCTGGACTTCATCCATGCATTCGTCGAACTACTCGTGCTCGTGTTCCAAGCAATGGGCTTGTTATGTCACTGCTAGGTCAGCTTCACAGTACTTTGCCTTTGCATCATTGCTGCAGCTTACGGCATGCTACTTGACCAAGCATGTTGATGGGCTCACCTTGAACCCATGCACCACGACACGGAGGCTGGTATCACAGTCGTGCAGCCTTCTGGGGATCAGACCGCAAGAGTGGTTGGCAAACGACTGCGCATGCTATGCTAATCTTTCTTCGTTTGCGGGCGCTATCGAGAAAATGCGCGAAAAGTCAGGTGTGATTTCTGTACAAGAGCCTTGAAACTTGCTTGGCTGCACAGGAATGAGCAGCAGAGCTTTGAAAAGCGTGCGGATCACAACTCAGAAGCCCAGTTCTGGGCAAGCAACCTGCAAGCACAGAAAGTGTCGAACTCACTTTTTGACTCATTCTCCCTTACTAGTGGCATTAGCGGTTGGGAGCATGGGCCCTGTGGTCCAAACGCACAGTTAAGCACAATCAAGAATGTAAATCACTGCCATCAAGGGTGTTCAGACTTGCTACGCCATACCTGCTCTTCATTTGCATGTGTTCATGTGGTTCCGGATGCACTGGAGGCATGGAGATGGTATCACCCTGTGTCCATTTGGTAGTTACCATTACTAGGGTTACCCCAGTATAGAACCCAAAACATTCTAGTCCTCAGTATGGGGAACCCCAATATGCTACTCCTTTTTCGGGAACCCCTAATCCCTATAGACTACTGTATAATCCCAGTTTGCATTTCTTTTCCATGTCTTGTCCATTTGATTCTCCACTATCCACCTTTCACCCTATATGCCTCTATATACCCCTAGATAATTTTATATAACCCCATATACGCCTAAATAATCCTATAAAACCCTGTTGTATAGACCTAATCTATGAAAGTCCCATTTAGTGGCCTATTGCGGCTTAGGGTTTCACAGTTCGAGCCTGGAGTTCCAAAAGCAGTTACCTTTACACCCCAGCAAAGGTTTAGAGCTTAGGGTGCAGGGCTCAGGGTTTAGGGTTCGGGGTTTTAGGGTCTAAAAGTTTGGGTTTTAAGAAAATGCCGCAGAGGCCCCCTTTTGGAAAGGCCAGTGACCTTTTTGCAGGCGGCCCCTGTTTAAGGGCTGTCTGGGTGCATGAGTCCTCGGGGTGGAGTACCCAAGTAGCTGCAGATTTCTCAAAATAGGCGGCCCGCAGGAGCCCTAAGAAATATACTGGGGTAGCTGGGAGTTTCTCAAAATAGGGGCCCTTAGGAAGCATAAGGCATATTTACAGGGATTCCCCGAAGATTCGAAGGGGGTCCCCTTTACAAAGGCGTCTATAGGGATCTATTTTGAGAATCTCCCAGCTGTGCCTTGAGAATCACCTCCGCTCGGGGCAGGCAACCTGCAAAAGACTTTAGGGCTTAGGGTTTAGGGCTTAGGGTTTAGGGTTTAGGGTTTAGGGTTTCGGGCTTAGGGTTTAGAATATTATTACGTGAGGGGATAAATGACACTTCATAAATGGGTGATTCCATAAATGGGGGCCCCAATATAAGCCGCCGTGTATCCTATGATCCTTATTGCAGCGACTACCCAAAATGGACCCCTGAATTTCGGAAACTTACATTGGTTAACTAGCTAGTTATCAGTTATCTAACTAATTGAGAAGGAAAGAAAACAAAGTCAGACCCAACTTGGCACAATGAACTAGTATCTAAACTGACTCTTAATCCCCCAAAACCTATATGTGTCTGCACTCTTTAAAAGATAGAAAATGTTTGGACGTTTCAGTTGAGGTCCACCTGTCCATGTCAAGAGACTGAAACCCTTTGCTATCATAAAGATCCCGGATCTTCGGATCTTCAGAACGCGAGCCATCTTTCCTGACTTGTTCCAAACTCCACATGATCCAAGCGGAATTGGCATAAACCACCACCTCTCCACACTTTCCTATTGTTGATGATCTACTCTAAATCTTGAAAACATTTAAGCCCGACCATCACCCCAAAAATAACCTCACAATAGACCAACAGTGTTGAGCTAAACCCTAATCCCTAAACCCCCAACCGTAAACAGGAAGCATTAAATCCTAAACCCATAAGCTTTGAATGGCAAGTCCTGAAGCCTAACTCCCGAAGCCTCAGCTCTAGACTCTACAGCTAGGCCAGACCCGAATATGTGAAGCCTCTAACCCTAAATTCGGGGTTTAGGCTTCAGGGTTTAGGGGGCTTCCGGCAGCCGGCCTTCTGAAGGGTTCCTGCAGAGTACAAGACTTTCTTCAGCTGGTGGTACTCCTGCGCTTTCAGATGTCTGGGAGTTGCGGATATTTTTTCCTAAACCCTCCACCCTATATCCTGCAGCCTAAACCCTAAACCCTAAACTCTAAGCCCTAAAGCCTATCACCCCTTTGGCCACTTTAAGTTGCTGGAGCTTGGGGTTTTCCAGTTTCGCGTCTTACGGTTTCAGGATTAAGGACTTGCGTTGGGCGGGGTCCCCTGGGTTGAGGATCTACGAACATGTCTGTAAGAGACCCTGACACTCTGAAGCCCGAAAAAACCCCTAAACTTCTAAAAGTATTCTTACTACTGCCACTATTATTCTTATTACCATAATTTCTATCTTTATTACTATTGCTATTACTATTACCATCACGATTACGACCACGATTAGCATCACGATTGCTATTACTACTCTTACTCATCACCCTAAAGCCCAATCCCTGCGAGACAGGCTCCTGGGAATATCTCTCGAGCATGTCATCGTGGAACTGGTGATAGATCTGTCCAAAACAGGTTTAGCGTTTAGAGGTTTAGGCTTTAGGGGTTTTGGGTTTAACGGTGGGCTTCTAGGGGTATATAGGAATGACAAAATGGAAAAGTGATTACAGGAATATTACCTGGAGAACCAAGTGGAAAAGAAAATGTAGAATGGAATGGAAAGTGACCAGAACACCTAAGCCCTAATTCCCAAGCCCTATAACCTGAAGTCTTTACCCTGTACCCTACTTTCAGCCTAAACTCTACGCCAATTTTGGAACCCTGAAACATACATCCTAAATTCAAAGCCTTCAACCCTAAACAATAATGAGCCCCGATCCAAACCCTTGCCTCACCCTGGTGGAAGGGGAACTGGTTGGAGTCATAGATCTCAGCACACAGGACAAACAAACAAGTCTTCCAGTGGCAATTTCCAAACTTGGGGCCTAGATGGATACCCTGAGTATACGGATGCCTCACATATCCGCACATGGAGTTTAGGGTGCAGGGCTTATGCATAGAAGGATCCCCATGTTTGGAATCCCATGGGTCATGAGTCAAGCTAGTCCACAGATCTCGACGAAGTCCCACACCCACACTTTCTTCGTGCCCACGGTATCCGCATCATTGCCCTGCAGGATGTGAATGTTGTGTCACTTTTTGCAAGTTTGGGGGGGGTTCCACAAACTGGGAGATCCCTTTTTGGGAGTTCCCGGACGGAGGACAATGGTTTAGGGTTTAAGGTATAAGCCTGTTTCAATCAAGGCCTCCAAGTTTGTAGAAGCCCCATTTGATGGCTGAAGTAAACAGTTGCATGTCTAGTCCGCATGCTTGCTCCCAAGCACCTAACAAAATGGGTTATCGTGCAGTATACAGAACCACTAAGTTTTTTGAAACTGGTTCCAGCATGCTGTCTTGCGCACGATTTTGGTATGCCGTTAGAATCAGAGATATTCTCCTCCCTCTCTGCCCGAAAATGCTGGCCAAACAAAAGATCTTGTACCGCGAAGCTTCAACAGTAACCCCTCACGTATAACCCGAAACCCTAGACCCTAAACCCGAATATCTATGATGAAATATAGTCTAGTATACTCACATATGGGACAATAAATAGTGGGCCGCCATAAGGTACAATGACGTTCAGTCTAGTAGAATATACCACAGTGAGAGATATGACAAACCCTAAACCCTAAACCTTCAACCGTGCTAAAATGTAGTAAGCCTTGGTCTGCAACTACAACCCCAGTCCTGGCCACGAACCAGCTGCAACCGACCGTTGTTCGCGGCTTCAACCTGTCAGCAGGTGAAAATACTTACACCCCAAAGAGTCGGCAAATGATACTGGCCCAAAATCCCGCAAAAACAACAGGCTATCATTCTACACACGTCTGGGTTCAGGTAGAGCCTTGAAGCTTGGGGTTAAGGGTTCTTAGAGTTCAGGCTTGAGGGCCCAGGGGCGAGAATTCAGGGTTTGCAATTTGGCCTTCAGGTCAACTGCGTGGTTGAGGGTTTACGTTAGGTTGCCCCCACCCAGTAATAGTGACTACAAGGGATAAAAGGGATCATAAGGATCATAGTAGGGTCCTCCTATATTCCTAGTAATTGTACCACAATTACAGGGTGGGGGGGCTCCTCCTAAGTTTACGGTTTTACTGGAATCCATCTTGTCTTCAGAGCTTTCTCTGGCGTTCTGTTTGCACCTTAGGCGTGTCTCAAAACAATCGCTGCGCGATCTGTTGTAGGGGCAGCTATACTCGCATTGTAACTGATAACCCCTTGACATCCCAAAGATTTAGCTCAAGCCACAAAACCCTCTACCTACAACCCCTTCAAAGAGACCCATGGCCCCCCTCTAGCTCCAGAACCAACCCAGAAAACACAGTGGTGTATGGGGGGGGGGTATATCGTATGCTGATATACCCGTTAGGGTTTAGGGTTGGGAACAACAGGGTACATCCTATGCTGGCCATATAGGGTTTCTTGTTTGGGGTTCACATGTTGGTTGTTTCTGGGGAATGAAGGCAAGAAAAGGAACAGGGAAACTAATTGATTACCGGGCATTACATAAAAAATGCTATAGGCCTCCATTCGCTACTAGGAGCCAGCGCCAGGAGGAGCTTGAGCTGAGGCCGAGACCTCCTTGAAGAGCGGTCCATCCATGCCGCCTGAAGGGTTGAAAGGTTAGGAGCTAAGGGCTTGGGGTTTAGGGTTTAGGGTTCAGGGTTTAGGGTTTTAGGGTTTAGAGTTTAGGGTTTAGGGTTTAGGGTTTTAGGGTTTAGAGTTTTGGGTTCAGGGTTTAGGGTTGTAGGGATTAAGGGTTTAGAGTTTAGGGTTTAGGGCCTCAGGCTTGGGATTTAGAATTAAGGATTGAAAGTTAAGGGTTTGGGTTGGCGTATAGGGTTTTGGGGCTTTGGGTTAAGGACTTAAAGTTCCCGTTCGGGTTCATGGTTTTGGGTTTACTGTTCAAGGTCTAGATTCAACATATTCCAAAGTTATAATATAGGGGGAACCGGAAACAAATTCGTCATGAAACAAATAATTCAACATGCTCTGCTGAAGCGAATGCTTGTTGGGCATTGCCGGGGTTACCATGCAGAGTTCAGACCAGCCTGCAACAACATGAGTCATACATGATCCTATCTTCCAGTCAAGGAGCAGACTTTTTCACTTCAAGAGTCGGCGCATGCCGTTGATCGTCACATGATCATCATCAACGGCAAGGTTATTAGAATCCATCCGATCCGGACTTCTGCCAGATCCTGCACTGCCCGGCGGGCAGTAAAGAACTTCGTGTAGGCTACGGCTCAGGATGACCAAGAAGTTGTAGGCGTGCTGGCCCCTTGAAGGCCAAGAGGGGAGAGTAGGAGAGCAGACACACCGCAACCTCCAGACTCATGGGTCTGCTTTTTCAGAGTTCATGGACCAAACATCATCGAAGTCAAGTTGAACAGCCACGGCTTTTTGATTCTCTTCATGCGAGAGCAGGATGACAGCAATGGCTGCACTCTTCACACCTTTGATCAGTTCGAGCCAAAGCCGTTGCTCCAAGTCTTCTGGTGCAGGTAGGACCTCACACTTCGCAGTTCCGAGCCACTTGCCTTCCATGGCCCCTTGTGCACTTGCACTTGCGATGGCCTCTACTTGGCGCTTGAACTGCTCTACCGTGGCCTCTTCCAGAACCTTAGCCTCTTTGGCCTTTGTATAGTGCTCAGCAGCCCGCTTCTGATCTTGCTCTCCTTGCCTCTGTCGCTTTTGGCGAAGGTGGTCTGACTGAGGCTGACCACAGGAAGCAAGGCGATGATTAACAGTGTACCATATTGTGTTCCTGAGAAAAGGGGATCTATTTTTGGGCGTTCCCAAAATGAGAGGTATAGCGTATTGCGGACAATATTGGGGTCAGCTCATGGATGGAAACTACCATATTGCCCTCTGCATCTTAGACTCTGCGCTTTCGGGTTTGGGGCTTCAGGAACGCTAGCGCAAGCCGTGTTTCGAAGTGATTCTTCATGTGGCTAGAGAAGATCGAAATGCTTTATAAACCCAACAAAAGAAAACATACTGGACCCTTCAACCTTAAACCACACCCCTCACCCCTAAACCCTAAACCCTAAACCCTACCCTACCCCTAATCCCCCTAAGCCCTAAACCCTAAACCGCACAACTGCCAAGGCTCCAGGCAAACCACTTAAAATCTGCCGCAACTTCCCGAGGCAGCAAATATCGTCGAGGCATCGCGCCCAACCAGTGTGGTTTAGGGTGTAAGGTTAGGGGTCCCTACTAACTTCTGGGGATCTAAGTAGCCAAAACTTGGTACTATTTGTAGGCTTTAGTGCTCGAAGTTGGTACAATTCCTAGACTTGTATCTCCCGGGAATGAACTCTGAGGGAGTTATGCTCTCATATCTGCAGCCACATCCAAGAAGTCATAGACCGCATGATCCTAAGTATTTTAAACTTTAGTATCAACAGTACTTCTCCTTCGCATCACGACCATACCCTTGCTCAGAACCAAAATCCGGCCAAAAGCTTGGAGCCAAAAGGCAATGGACCTATGGTTTGACATCTGTCTCGTATTCCGCAATCGGGGCCCGTCCCACAAGGACCACAAAACAGGACCCACAGCTTGAGACACCCCAGATTTAGCCCCCCTTAAGTAGATATAATATGGATTTGGGTAAGTCATAATAAGATCCCCACATACCCCCATATTCTATCTACTTAAGGGGGACTGTACATCTGCGACGTCCCAGCTTCGCCCTCAAAAACTCCCACAAATCCCAAAACAAACTCTTCGGAAAGAGTCTGCGCTAGCATCCATGGTGGTGTCTCGAGTTCAAGATCTTATCTCTTACCATGAGGATCCGATTGCTTGGGGGTATTTAAGGTTTTTACCGGGGTATAGCGCTTCCACAGGGGTACATGAGTTCCCGTTTTCTGCGTATACGGTGAATTAAGCTCAGAAAGAAGCCCCTTCATCCTTGGAGATTCCCCTAAACCCTAAACCCTAAACCCTAAAGCTTACATGTCAAAAAACCTCACGAAGCCGACTTGCACGGCCTGGAATTCCAATGGCAGATCGGTACTCTGTGCCGCGATCCTGCAGATTCAAACGTGAGTTTCGTCTCAAGACATAAACAAATAGATTATTTTAGGGTTTAGGGTTTAGGGATATATAAGCTGTACTGAAAACTCCTGAAAGGGGGTTATATGGGGGAGCGTATAGGGACTACTGTGGGCGGTAGTACGGGGGATACTACTGTTCAGGGCCTAGGTGGTCAGGTTTCCAAGTTCCGGCACACACCCTGCCACATCACAGTTCCCATGGAAGCCCTACCGGGCCCTCGTCCAGTGTAGTGGATTTTCATGACAGCCTTGAAAACAAGCCCATTGTATCTTCGGAAAATATCACATGGGGATGTCCTAGGAGGACCCCCCCACCCTGTAATAGTGGTATACTAGGGATAAAATAAGAAGACCCTAATATAATCCTTCTTATGCCTTATAACAACTATTACAGGGTGGGGGTCCACCTAGGGGATGTCCCTGAATTCTTGCCCCTGCCTTGGATATGTTTGTGTCACGACAACAAGACATGGTAAGAGATCATGATTGAAACAAAATCTGGCAACTGAAGCCCCCCTTTTGTACCAGAGACCCGCATTTTCCATCCTTTTCTGGCCTGGGGATCTGCGCGGCCAAAGGGATACTTTGATGCGGCGTCGAAGTAGGCCTAGAGTCGAGGAAATGATCACAAAATACCCCATACCAATAAGTGTTTTCCCTGCTGTATGACGGTACTAAGAGGATTTGATACAGGTGGCTAAGGATTGGGGAGTTTGGGTTGGGGATGAGGGCTCCGGGTGTAAGGTTTCGGAATTTGGGTATGAGGCTACTGGGGGCCTTCTGGCTCTGGATGGGGGAATTTGACCTGCTCTCCCTAAACCCTAACTTTGAGGCCCTTGGTACAGCTTCATAAGGAGCTTGTGACTGCTTCAGGGTTGACTGTTCCGAGTAATGTTTGAAGGAATCCTGGGATAGTATGGGGACTGTGCGAGCTATAGTCTAAACTCCTGGTAGCCCTCAATAACCTCTATTGTAGGGTTTAGGGTTTAGGGCTTAGGGTCTAAACCCCCGGTAGCCCTTACTAACCTCCATAGTAGTCCCCCACGCATTCCCCTGACCTCCCTTTAAGGAATTCAGACTTTAGCTCATTTAAAGGTTGTCCTTGTTGGGATCCGCGCTTGCAAGTCCTAGCCTCGCCCTCACTAGCACATTAAAGCTTTAGCCCGGCGAAATGGGTCCTGTAGCAGAGTGGCACAAGGAACTTTTCATATGAAGTTGCTTCGAATGCTAAGTCGTCATGATTCAGCTACCTCTCGATGTGTTCGTTTGTATATGCACTCCTTACAATCAGTTCACCCACCAAAAAAAGGATGCGTTTCTGAGAACTTCTTGGAACGGAAAAGTGCCCAGCCTTCGCAAAGTCGCCGACCTTTCCCTCTGGCACTGACACATTCACGACCTCACAGAATGGGATGTGTGCTGAGAATTGGGAGCCCCATACACGTACGTGACACGAACCAAGATTCTTGATATAAGGAACCAACAAATGAGCTGCAGCAGCACATATTCATGCATTTCCAAGGAAAATGCCTCAATTCAGTGTTTGGCGTAGCCCCGCCTCCGTGTGGCCCATGCGACCATAGTCAGGTGCCATCGCCATGTTGTGGTAGCACACCTCCCCCTTGCTGCCAACCTCTTCAAGAAAGCATTCATACAGAACACGCCAAAGACATCTCTTTGGTCCAAATTTTATGTTTAGGGTTTAGGATGTAGGATTTAGGGTTAGGGTTTAGGATGTAGGTTTTGGGGATTAGGATTTTAAAGGTATCGGCGGTTGCAAGAGTTCTCAAGGAGCTCTGTGCCACACGTTCTTGCGCTGCGTTGCCCGAGAGTTTAGAGCACTACCCTACAAGTTTCTCGACCAGCTCTGAAGCACGCAAGCCGTTGTCAATCACATTGAGGCTGAAATTGCAGCTCAAAAGGAACGCCTTTGGGAACCTGAGGGGGTCTAACCCCTATATTATACCCTAATACGATGTAATAGTTTCCATTTTCTTTTCCATTATCCCTATATAAACCCTATAAAACCTATAATATACCCGTATTAGGAAGCGACTCTGGGGGGTTCCCACTAAGAATCGGATTGCCTCACGTGTGCAGACACCAGCTGTCGTATGTTGCTGCTACTGGGATACATGGCAACATGGCTGCAGCCAAGCAAGCCTTGTCCGAGAAACTTCCTGAAACATTTCAGGACTCTCTCACTGGTTTTCTGCCACCACATGATGCAAACCTGCTTCGTACGAGCAGCCCATGTAGCAAGATGATTCAGAGACAACTTCTTCAAATGCTGTGACATACCTGGATAGGAAAACGCTGAGCCTGTACATGTATATATGGCTATACTATGTATGCATACATATGCCGAAATAGAACCTGACCTTGGAAAACCTTATGCTTTCTGTGCTCCATCTGTTGAATGGGGACTGCAACGCCATGGAAAAAGGTTTCAACCCTTGGTGGAAACTCCTGCAAGGACCCCTATCAAGAAAACCTGGAAAATTCTAGGTTGGCATTTTACGAAACACTAGTGTTCTCTATACTGGAAGTGAAACGATAAGAGACCATGAGATATTTCCTGGTCATCCCTGAGACACAACAATTCAGGTAAGACCTTCAACCCCGGACGCTACACCCTAAGCCCTGAAAAAATCAGTTTAGACCTTCAATCCTAGACACTCATCCCTAATCATTGAACAATTCAGGTAAGACCTGCACCCAAGCCAGCCTCCGTGCCGCCGGCATATCCTGACAGCGCGGTGATGTCTGCAGCTTTGCGGCCGAGGTCCGCCGTCTGCCGAGGCCAAGGCAACACACCGCGTCGAATGCACATTATTTTTGTGTGTATATATGGTAGTTTCCCAAAGTTACGGGTACCATTTTGGGGGTTCTTTTAATAAGGATTATAGTATATTGGGGTCTATATTGGGGTTCCCCTATTTAGGGAAACTACCATATACATATACGTATATCCCTGGGGACATAAGAAAATATGTAGAAACACATTCTTCAATGCATTCTGATGTGTCTGTGCATGAATGTATACGTATTGCAGAATATAGATGAATCATGGGCACAAATCTTGTGAGGACTTCTGGGGGTTGCACGAATACCCTTGAGTTGCTACATTTCTTATGTGAGCTATAGTCTCAACTCCATACTAGGTCCCTTTAAAGGGGTATATGAGGATATATGGGGATATTAATTACCCCAATAATGGGAAAAGCAAATGGAAAATGAAATGGAAAGGGTTATATGAGCTATAGTCTAAACTGCATCCCCCTTAATAACCCTGCAATACTCCCCAATATAATCCCCTATATGAAGCACCTTTAGGGAGTTTAGACTGTAGCTTATTTAGGTACAGTGGGGGTGCATGGACAGCCCCTCATTTGGCCCACTCACAACGGAGATCCTGAAGTACAGATCATCCACACCGTCAAAGTAAGGAGGGTTTAGGGTTTAGCGGTGGATGTGTAGTAGGATTACATAAATAAGAAAATTCTCAGCTACAGTGATAAAGCGAGGAAGAGACGCCAAACTGTAAAAGCTGAACCCACAACCAGTAAATCTCTGGATCTTGCTGAACCCAAACCAGTAAACACCCAAGACCCTAAACCCTAAACCCTGATTCCCTGACCCTAAACCCTTAAGACGCACCTCTTGCTTGACCAATTCATGCTGGACGTGCCAGAAGCAGCCCTGCCAGCACAAATCTGGATGGAGCTGTGGGGGACTTGGTCATATGAATGGAAAGGAAAATGGAAACCACTATAATGGGTTATAACGGGTTATGTAGGGTTTAGGGTTTAGGGCTTGCAAAAGAAAATTGAAACTACCATAATGCTTATATAAAGGTCATGTATAGGGGATGATATAGGGAATTAATAGGGATTATAACGGTTATACAGGGATTATACCAGCTTTAGTTCTTACAGTTTACGGGTTAGCCAGTTGAGGGGGTTTAGAGTTCAGGGTGTCCCAACATGATGCTTTGTGCTTGCGGCTTTCATAGGTGGAGTTCGAAGGCAACATGTAGGAAGTGCACTGAGCATACAGTGCGCTTCATAAATAGGCTATCGGCATATCAACGCAACAATGAGGGTGGGGTTCTCAACATCATGGGCATTAAAAAAGTAATGAGAGCTGGGCTCCCAAAATCACGATTCACCGCCTGCAAGTCCCTTCGACACAGACTCGTTGTCACGGAGGATATGCTTCTGAAAATACTCACATGTATCGCAGGGAAATGTCAGGGTAATACTTGTCGAGAGGAGATGTCAAGGTGGCAAATCCGAATAAGAACGAATTCAAGACCAGACACTCCCCCAAATATGAACCCCCGCACAACCCGCCCAGGGTCCTATTCCCAGAAACAAACGAACCACCCACTAAAACCCTAAGCCCCTAAACCCTAAACCCGAACCCTACCCCTACCAAACCAACCTGCAAGCCCCCAGCATCCACCCTACCCCACCCCACGCCTGGCCCACATATCGCAATATATCCCTACAATTCCCCAAGCGGTCCTATATATATATATATATGTATATACATATCGCTTTATACCCCTGTATACCCTAATCTCTCAAAAAAATCATATCACCCCATACATTCCTGGTTATCCCTTGATATCCTTGTATACCCTATTCCCACGCCTGGCCCACATACATGTTCACGTTGGATTCCGCCAACGCAGCGCGCGGAGCAAACGCCACTGCGGCGACCATGGCAAGCGCAGCCAAGCCAGCACCTCTCGTGAGGGGCCCTTTCGAAACAAGGGCTATATAGAAAATTGTTTAAGGTTGTATAGGGATGTATATACACATATATATATATAAGCTTACGTAAGTTAGACCCCTGGTGAGAACTTCATTTGAATACTGGAGAGCAACATGGAAAAATGAAACTGAAACGGAAACTGGAATTAGGAAGTGGTTTATAGGAAGTTGAGTTAAGGAGTTCAGGGGCTTTGGGGTTTGGCGTTTAGGGTTTGAGCTTCCAAAACTCCAAAACCCTCAGGGCTTACGGTTCAGGAGGTGAACAGCAGAGCACTGTCGAGGGCGTGTCTGAATTGCATTTGCAGCTTTAGAGTGTTGTGCAAAGTCTGGGGTGACAGGCTATCGCATCTGTCACAGCGGGTATGCGTCAACTTGCTTGGGTCTTATTGTAATTTCATACGTCTGCCAGAAGCAGAGGATCCAAAAAAGTAAACCAAAACAAGAAGGAATCGTGGTGTTCTTGGCACATGCCCATCTGAAGTACCTGTTGTACCATGCATGCGGCAGCCAACACACAGATGGGGCACGTGCCCATGATGGCATCACGGAGCTCTCTTCATCTGCAACGTTCAAGCGCTCGTCAAAGCCTGGCAACACGTAAGCCCATTGGTGGAGCCATTGCACATCCAAAAGTAAGGAAACTCCCAAGCAAGAGCCCCAAAACGGATCCTGCCATGCTGAAAGCTCCCATCTCTGTTCTGCCCTGCCTCGAAGTTGAGAAGCCTTTGTCTCCTGTGAAGCTCCGTACGAGACTTCATGCGAAGGCGCGACGGTCTCCGAGAGGGGCTGGCGGCTTGCCGTCCAGGCCTCATGATCAGTAGCATCGCATAATGTAATATTAATATCAATGACAATATAAAACCAATATTATAGTAGTTACTACAGCACCTAAGGTCTTGGCAGAACTACTGATACAGTAGGAGCTGTCAGGCAAGCCACAGCAGGTTTGCTATTGTGAACTCCAACAACCAGCACTGGGGAGCCGACGAGTCCACCTGGAAGTAGAACGAATGCGGTGAGCGCTCTGGCTATCATCCTGGCTAGCAGCATACTACTGCTCGTCTTGGTATCGCTGAGATTTCAATTCATGGCGCGAGTACGACAACTCTTGATAGTATCAATGTTGTTGGAATATGACTGGTCGACCAAGATTGAAAAGTCGATCCTTAGCCGCCAAAAAGCCCAAACCCCAAATCACAGTGTGCAGTCCTTGCTGCGGGAGGTCAGCCAGCGCAACTAGCTTTCTCAGGGCTGCGAGTCAGAAGTAACCGGGCGGTAGCTTTCAGGTCAAGGGTTTGAGGTTTCGGGTTTGAGGTTTGATCATTGTGTCAAACATGAAATCCTCACAAAAGGACAACAATCACAAGGCGGTATTGATAACAATGGACCAAACAACACGTATAGCTTCCATTACATGACACATTGCGTAATATGAACGCTTACTCCCCTTGTCCTGCTACCACCACTACCACCGCCACTAGCAGCAGCACCACCGCTAGCACCAGCATCGCCACTGCCAGTACCATTATGGCTACTACTAATGCCACTGGTGGCCATGGCGGTGGTAGTAGCACCACTAATGGAAAGAAGAACAGCAATGATGAACACCATCACAACAACAAGAACCACACGACTACATGACACGACTACATGATGGAGCAATTTGCAGCAAAGCGCGTTGATCCTTACACTTACACATTGAGCGGCAGTGGCACGGCGCGCATATGCACACAAGTGCACACGAAGACCACAGTCGCGCAAACTTAGTACTGCCCTCCTTCTGCATCCTCCCTCAAGTTGGCTTTGCGAACATCATCCACACAGCTCCAGTAACGGACGGGGACTACCTTGCACTGGGAGGAGTAGGGAGGGCACTACTGCCTCCATTCCAAAGCAATGGCTGCTTCGGCCGCTGCATTAGCTAAGTTCACAGCTGCTGATTCAAGAGCAGCTGCCGTGGATTTATCATCAGAGTAACCGATCTTGGTGTCGGCCTTGGGCACCGTCTTTGCGGCGCATAACTGTTCACTTCCGTCTTTCTCACGCAGGACTTGAAGCGTTGCTCTGAGCGACTCGACGCTAGGAGGCGAGTCCTCGATACCTCGAGTTTCTGTCTGTGCAGAAGGCGGTATGCCTTCTAGAACCTGGACCAAAATTGTGCGGGCCACAAAAAACATGTGCAAAAAAGATGACTTTTATCTTCTCGACGTTTTGGATGTTCAAACAACCATGAAAAGCTTTCCCGAGAAAGACCCAAGAACAGCCTTAGCCGCAATGGACGCATCTGCCACAGCCTTTCTCCAAGCTACTGCACCTTGAGGCAAACCTCGCCGCTCCGCTGTGCTTTGCTGGTTGTGGCGGAAAGCTGACAGGATGTAGGCCTCCTCATTCTCCTCCGGGAGCAACAGGAGTAAAAGAACATCAACAGTTATGATAACGCTGATAATGAAAGGTGAAGATGGGGGTTTCCCAGAGTTAGGGATACCAGTTTGGGGGTCCCCATAGTGAGGACTATAGATGTTGGGGTCTATATTGGGGTTCCCATATTTTAGGAAATTACCAGATGAATTTGCCGCTGATGCGCTCACAAGTGCACTGTGCCATTGTACCTTGACTTCTGACGAACATCTCAGAGTCCCTAAATAGGAGGCCCCAATGTACAACCCAAAATAGGGATTAGGATTTAGTGTACCCACAACAAGGTACCCTGGCTTTAGGGAACCCCCACATGCAGCCGGCAGCAGCGAACCTCGTTCATCTCCGAGACACCCTGCTCTGGCTCATCATCGGGAGCGTTTCTGGACATCTCCTGCTCGAGAGACACCTGACATCGCTATCAACTGCACATACTTGCTGTGTATTGTATAGATGGAGATCATACTATTTTGGGGCCTATATCTTAGTTTGATGAAAATCCAAACAACGTCCGTGCGTCTGCAAGGCCAATTTGATCAAGTGTGCTGTAGTCGAACCTCCTAGTCTCCCCCTCAATAAGCCCAAAAGTAGTCCACTATATAATCCCCTATATAACCCCAATGTAAGAAGTTAAACCCGAAAACCCGAAAACCCTAAACCCTAAAGTTCAGACCATAGCTGAAATGCAAACCAAAGGGCGATGCAGTTCGTCTCCAGGTCCTTGTCAACAGCCTGGGTTGCTGTTAAGGAACTTAAATTAAGTTACCATAATGGGTATATATATAGTAAATAATAGGGTTTCCCCAATATAGTAACCCTAAACCCTAAAAAAACCCATTATGGGTTTCCCCAATATAGTAACTTAATTCAAGTTCCTTAACAGCAACCCTGCAGCAGCTTTTGAAAGCTCTGATGAGCCGTTGTCGAAGTTCGAAGAGCTGTCTGCCTGAGGCAGAATAGGGTTTAAGGTTTGAGGATTTAGGGTTTTAGGGTTTAGGGTTTTAGGGTTTTAGGGTTTGAGGATTTAAGGTTTAGGGTTTAAGGGTTTAGGGTTTTAGGGTTTTAGGGTTTAAGGTTATGGTTTTTTTATCGGACCTTGGGGTTTAGGGTTTAACGTTTAGGGTGTAGGACACATTGAGGAATGTATTACATCGGATGTTGTGTGTAGGGATTGTGGTCCATGGTAATCAAGCATTATTTCCAGGAATATCCAAGTTGTTGTGGGCTCTAAACATCGTAAGACCATTTTCATATGAACAATGAGAACGCAGGATATCAATCCATGCTGTCTCCTATCAAGATGTTTGTGCTTCTAAATTGTTTAGCAAATGGTCGTGCGTCTGGCTGCAGGGCAGCACCCATAGCATGGTCGTGAGGGGGCTGCAAATGCTAGCAAGCGTGTTGACTGCCATCACTTTGGGACCGTTGGGTGTCTGTCTTCAAAGCACTAACCTCCAAAGAAATCCAGGGTGGGCAGTTCATGGACGACATCGTGGCTCTCGCTGCTTCTTGGACCCGTTAAGCAAGATGATGGCCTGCAGACCTATGTGTCTGCCATCCAAAATTCTACACCAAGAGCCTGAAGAATCCCCACAAACCCTGAAAGATCCCTCTGAATGACCATGAGCAACTTGCAAAACCCTTCTGTGGCAAATCCTCATGAATGCCCTTCTTTAAAAGTCACAAACGACTCAGATCATCTGCGTAGGTCCCTCATACATCTTAACAAACTTGCTGCGCTTCCTCATTAGTACTCTCTGTCCTATCCGTCCGCACCCAAATAAATGCCAAATCTCATGGCGGTTGTACTACCTAAATCCAGTCCGCAAAGCGCACACAAGCACACACAGCGTTCTCAAAGGCTAATGAGAATATATGCAAACGGAAGCAGTCCGACTTACTCAGAAAATGATAACTAAAAAAAACATCCAGCCCCGAGAGTATTCCCTGTGATTTATAGAATCTGCTCAAGGCTGCAATGAGATATAAATCTACAACATCCACTCAAATTTCCAGGCCACAGAGGCTCGTTGCCCCAATCCAAGCCCTAATTCCTAAACGTTTCAGAACCCTCAAGACCCAAGTCCTTAACCCAAAATCCTGAACCCAAATCCCCAAAACCTCAAAACCCTAAACCCTAAACTCCACACATTTCCATATATCTCTATACCTAAGCCGGCCTCTTTGACAGGTTCGGGATCCGGACAGCCTTCCTCTGGTCGGGCGCTCCCTGCAAAGGACGTCTTGTCTGGTAGCCTTGGCATTACTTCCTGGAGGGCTTAGGGATTAGGATTAAGGGTTTAGGGCTTAAGGTTTAGGCTTAGACATTAATGTTTAGGGTTAAGGGTTTTTAAGGCTTAGGGTTCAGGATTTAGGCTTAGTAGGTTAGGAATGTGTGTGTATGTATACCTATATATATATATACATACACTTATGTAGGGATAATTAGGGATGAAGGGGGTAGAAACGGGATTTGCAGGACTTAGGGTGTGAGGTTTGGATTGGTTTAGGTTTAGATCCAGAGGTTCAGAGTGTTGGGCTTGGGGTTTGCATGCTTGAGGGTTAGGGGTTAGGGTTTAGGTTTTTAAGTTGAGGACCTGGTGCATCGTAGGACTGGTCATGGGGGATGGCTTCCCGTAAGGACCCCTAGCAGCATGTGTAGGGATCACAAGGGCCCTCTCAAGGATGAAAAAGCACTGGTCGTTTTTGAGAAACTCCTGCAGTATAGTCTTGCTTGCTGGGATAGCCTGACCCACGGGACTTTGCCACTCTAGAGCTTTCGACTGCGGGAACCAGCACTAGAAAGGCAATTGTTTCTGACACAGATGACACACATTTCAGCTTAGATGCTCCTGGCAACATCTCTTTTCCGACTCTTCAGGTTGTTGAGCACATGCAAAATGTACTATGCAAGCATCTACTGCCCCTACATGGTCTGTATCTGGTTTCATTTGATTGTCCCGCCAGCCATCCTCAAATCTAAGCACCCGCCCCTCATACAAAAGTGTGTCTCTGGTATTTGGTAAAATGTTCATAGTTTATATAGTATGCCGTGGTCTACGTTAGGGACTCTTTGTGCTCTTTGGGGGTTTCAGATTAATATCATCCAGGACAGCCTGAACGAAATGGTTTTTGTCCTAAGAATTCGTCCAACTTGGAAGAGCTCATAGTAGATTCACCGTCAACCCCCTAGATCCCAGACAAATCCCTAAACTCCACAAAAAGGCGGGATATCGACACATGGCAGGTTGCCAACGTTTTGGCCTCTTCTTGGTACTCCCAAAGCCTACACCCTAAACCCCAAAGCCTAAACCCTTTAGGCCACTCTTTGCATAACTACCGAGACCCTGGCCGAGATCCCTGGACACTGGCGAAGGCCGGTTTCGCAGCCTGCTTGAACCAGAGTCTAAACTCCTAGTATCCCTCTTAATGTCCCCCATAATACTCCCCTATAGGTATATGACATATGTATATACATACATATATATGTATATACTGCTCTGTGCACCCCCCTGTAAGGGGTTTAGACTGCAGCTCAATTGAAGGTCCAGGAGTAACAGAGAAAATGTTTAGCACCGAAGGGTTTACTGCTTCAGGGTTTGAGGGGATAAGGATTTAGGGTTCAAACCCTAAACCCAAAATCCGATTCAGGGTTTAGATGACCCCATAACATCTCAATGACAGGTTCCACGTGGGGTCACTTTGCTAAAAAGTTCTGTCCTGGAGATCCAGGCGGGTTGAACCTACCTACTGAAGGCACTTCGTACCTGTATGTAGGCCCAAGCTACAGGTCCCTATGGTTACTATGGTTCGTTTCCTCTTAAAACATTCTAACCTTCAAGTAGAGCGAAGACACCCTTGCTGGCCCTTGGCTTCCTGCGCGAAAAGCCGCCTACTATCATCATTCTCTCTGTAAGTCACAAACCTCTTGAAGCTGCAACGTCAGCATCCTTACTCGATGCCCTTGACAACGCCAATTTCCGCCCACCCAAAACTATACTTCCCAAGCCCGCGACCATTGGCATCAGCACGGACCGATAAGCCACAACCTCGATCTACCGTGCTCAGCAGGCAGCGACGGAGTGAATCCTCGTAGTAGTCCCTGTAACAGCCCCCATTGATCATCCTTACAATACATGCCCCTACTCCATGCCAGGCACCAGAACAACCGCAGAAGGATGCAGGTGCATGATCAGCAGTTGAGACTCTGGCTGGGGATGGTGATCGTGGTGCTCCCCAAGTTGCTCGTCCGTAGGGTGAAACGGATCGGCCCGATCCGACGGACCTCTGCTAACATGACCAAAGTTTACTTACCTAACCGGCTTCCTCCATGGAATGCTAAGCTTGAAGCGACTGTGGGAAGCTCACAATTGTCCGGAAAGATGCCCCGGGCGAAACCGTGGGTGAAGGCGGATAGGCCGTGCTAACTTGCACAGCTGGTGCCTGGCACCAGCAAACATTGCTGCCATCATCAAAAATTCCAACAACAAGACAATAACAGCATAGATATAAGGTTTGAACTATGGGCCCCAAGTATGGATCCTTAATCCTGGCCTGAAAGGCCTAAGGGCCCATATTAGGGGCCCAGACTTCTAACCTTCGAATTGATGGTCCACGAGCATCTACACTATGCAAAACTGAGGTTCAGGCAGTGACGTGCGGACTTCTGGCCTGAATGTACCTCGGTCACACACCCGCCTAGTAAGTTGCGAAATAGGTTGGCCACAAAACTAATGCCAGGTAAACAAAGGGTCCCTTTGGGCACATAGATCTGAAAAAGGGACCCTAAACGCAAAACGGCTTCATAATCCGCGCGGTGCGTCTATAACGCCCGACAATCGCTGTCTGCAAAATCTCATTGATCACGAGTCGTATTGAGAAATCCTCCTAAAGAACCCCTGTAGAACCCCCACAAAAACCCTATATAACTCTACAGAACCCCTATATACACCCAGTATAACCATACGCAACCCTGTATACCCCTATGTATCTACATATATATACATATATGTAAAAATATCCTATATAGCCCTATACAACCCCTAAACCCTAAACCCTAAACCCTTAATCCTAAACCCTCAACCCCCCCTAAACACTATCCAGGCACGTAATGGGGGAGGCTGATCGAGCCCTCGGGGGTTGTGAGCTGTGGCTTGCCGCTGCAGAGCGAGGAGACACCGGTGAACTCCTGCTGAATATGAAGAGGTTTCTATGTAGGGATACATAAGCATGTGTATATATATATATGTAGATAATGTTTCTGCTAGGGATGTATGGGGCTGATTTATGGATGGGCAAGGGTTTAGGGCTTAGGGTTTGGGGCTTAGGGTTTCCAAAGATAAGGGGCCCGCTAGACCCGCAGCTACAGCGCAAGCCTTATAATAAGGACTCCCCCAAAAAGGATCCTGAATTCATGAAAACCTCCAACTAAGGACCCAAGCAATTGAAGCACAATCATGGTGTACTTGTTATAGTCAAGGCAAACTGCGGATATGTGAGGATCAGGACTACGACATTAAAATTGAATCTTTCTCCCTTCATCATTCTAGCTAAGCATTAAGAGAGCGTCCTTCCGTAAGGACTACTGTGGCTCCTGCATGACTCTAACTACTCTACACTTTGGGAAGTTTTGACTTATACTATACAAGGGTCATGCAGGGATTTGGGTATCAACAGCCTCTATCATCCTGAAACCCTAAACCCTAAACCCTCAGACAATGCGGCCTCTGACCAGCAACTGATTGCAGCGCTCCGAGCGGGACCGCAGCAAGTCTTTCACCCAAGGGTTTCACCACATTGGGTGGAGCAAACCTTGCTGTTCTTTATTAGGGCTTATAGGGTGTATATGCCATCATATAGACATATAGGGTCAAAAGGAAATATGCAGAGTTTAGGGCCCCATGTGCACAACTGCACCCTTCAGACAAAAGAGCCCCTTCAAACTGAAAGGTGCCTGGAATCAAAGACCGATTACAGGATTCTCAACATCATATGGTTTTGGCGGTTCTAGTCACGAAGAGTATACAGTAAGAAAGAGAGGACCCCTGATTCCCACCACCACTGATACAGATGTAGGGGCAGTTTCGTGATAAAACCTTCTGAAGCAGTTCTCTTTGGGAAGACGTTCACTGCAGTTCCAAGGGAATCTTTTGCGGGGCACAAAATAGACTCAAATGCTGCCAGCTAGTGACTCTATATATATATATATATGTGCAGATATCGTATAGATATCGTGAAGGGTTCCAGAACAGCCCGAAGACTAGAAGACAATGATACAGGTACTTTGGATATCTCCCCTGAGGATTATAAATCGTATATTGGGGTTAGACAAGGTTTCGGGGTAATGGAAAAGAAAATGGAAACTACTATAATGGGGCTATATAGGGCTTATATCCTCCGCTGACCTGCAGCAGCGAACCGTAGGAAACTCAGCGAGACGGATCTGAACCGTCTCAGCAAGCTTCATCTAGCAGGAATCCCTGAACCGTGGGTACAGAGCAGCCGTGGAGGAGACACAGAGGAGGAAGAGGAGGAAGTCATCAACCTCTACAGTCCACCCCAACTGGACGACTGACCCCCCCCAGATAATCTGGGCTTCTGTTGAGGAACTTGATTTAAGTTACTATTTTGCGGGAACCATATCAATTACTATATATACACGTACCCATTATGGCAACTTAGTTTAAATTCCTTAACAGAAACCCAGTAAGGCACTCTGGTTCTACGTGCAGGAGAACGCAAAAACAGCAAGGGTGTGCTGCTCGTAGTTGCGCAGGTGGAGCTAAAAATCCATGCCATTCTCCAGATAAATGATAGGGTACCCGTGCCCTTATCACGCTACAAAAATGAAACCTCGACTAATGTTGACTTTGCATTAATAAAATATCCCCCCACCACCCCCCCTCGATTGATCTATCTCCGTCCCGGGGGACCCCCGGAATAATAGTGCCAGAAATGTACATTGGAAAGCCTATCGTTGCCCCAAAAAAATCACGCTTTCGGTGGATTCTATAAGGTTCTAAAATTGCGGAGGAAATTAAAAATGGTGTTCCGGCGCTGGGATTTTATAATTGTAGCGGGAATCTTTTAAGGTGAAGTCAACCTTATTCTGATCACACACCAGTAGGATCTCGTAGACAAGCTGCGGTCTTGTGAAGCCAGAAACCCAACTGCCAGAACAGGCTTCCGGACCTGATGTGCACAGGTTTAGGGTTCAGAGTTTAGGTTCTTGCGCATGAAGACATTTGAGCTGACGTGTTTTATATAACTGCCAGGTATTCACGTGCTGTACGATCTCATTCCGAACAATCACTTTTACTGAAGTCTTCCTGTCTAACATCCCTCCCCTTCGTTCTATAGTTTCTTCCAGTGGCGTGTCCTAAACCCTAAACCCTAAACCCCATATGCCTTGCAATCTCCCCGCTATCGCCTCTTCATCCTCAAGTTTCCCCCATGATCCCCTGATATCCTTCCCGAATCTCCCCTACATTCTCTCCCTGAACCCTAAACCTTAAACCCTAAGCCCTCACCCTACACTGCAATCGCCTTCTAATCTCCCCATCATTCTCTACAGGCCGCCACGAGCCTTGGACCTCATCCAAATTCCTGCAGGATCTCCCCCACAACTCCACTGTTGGTTCCCTTTCTTGCACCATTGAAATGAACATCACGTTGTGGGACACGAAGTATGCCCAGTAAGGATCGATCCCCAATATACTATATAGTAGAGCAAGATGTAGGTTATGTAGGGATTTTGAAAAGAAAATGGAAAGTATGAGGGGTTATGGGGTTCTATGGGGTATACACAAGTCAAAATGGGGGGGGGGATGCTCTTAGGAACCTTGAGGAAGGAGTTGCTAAAAGATGAGCGGGCTTTAGGAATCCTGTTGAAGGCTTGTATGGGGCTTTCTCGGGAAAAACATCCGTATCTCTAGCGTCCAGCTTACTGAAGTTGCTAGTAGGGGATGAAATGAGTTCTCTACACAATTCCCCAAATATAGCATAGTTTCCATTGTCTTTTGCATTCCCCTATATCTCCCTCTGTAACATGAGTGCCCCTTTCATGTTCCATTGTCCATTTTCTTCTTCCTATGACAATTCTCCGTTGTAGTGGTGTCCATTGCCTTTTTCGTTCTTTCATTTCCCACGGACCCTAATACCTAAACCCTATAATCCCTAAACCGCCAGAAAGCCAAGCTGAGAATCTTGCGAGAGAGCGCCACCACTGGCTCTGGAGAAGGAGCTCTGGGCCTCAGACTTTGGGTTTCGGGTTTAGGGCTTCTGCTTCATATGGGAAGGGATCTGAAAACAGGGGTAGGTGAACCATGTGGGAATAAGAGGAGTCACTTACACAATCTTGAGAAAACTGTCATGTGAGCAGGAATGCCTGAAGATCTGAACAGGTTATGCAATTCATGCCAAACAACAACTCACAACTCCGACTCTGAGAGTCTTAGGAACACACGGCTGTGGGCTGCTTCCATTCGCGTGCTGTCTTTGCAGCACCGGGGCCCTTGGCGCCTGCACAGCGCATGCTTCCATCCCAACAAGACTGCTGCCATTTCCCGCAAGACAAGCCAGCATGCCAGCAGCCGCTTCCCGTCCACAGCTTGAACGCTTTTTGTGTATCTGCAATGCCACCACTCTTGGAGCTATGTGAAACCAGGCCACCAGGCCCACGTCAGACAGTCCCATAGCTCCTGAGTGACGCGGGATTCTGCAAAGCATCTTCAGAGCACATTTTTGCAAGGTCTTCTTGGTATTACAGAACCTTCCGTGAAGAAATAAAGCAAATGCTTTGGACAAAGTTGTGTTGGTCTTCTTTCTGATATGAAGCCCTTGCTGCCAGGCGACCCGTTGAACTTGATCCTGAGCACAAGTCATGAAGCTTCACTAAACGCGGAAACGCTGTATCATTCGCCTTTTTATCTGTACACGAATCCTGCATAACTTTCTCCATCTGATTTTCCATTTGAGTCTCTATAATGATAGCTTCCATGTTCATGCCGTTTTGCAGAATGTTTGGGTTATTGACATGAAGGATCTCCAGTTATCGCTCGAAACGTATGTATCTGTGCAGCTCAGTAAAGGGCGACCGCAGGATAATACTCCGCATTTGTAGCAATTGCTTGCCTAGCTGCTGCGGCACTCCCACACTGGCCGGCCTCTTGTCGAAAAAGGGAGTTTTCCTTAGTCTGCCACATTTGCTTTCAGCTAATCCCTTCCCCCGAGCGTAAACGCCCCTCAGCCCTTCCCATGTGAAATCCGATAACCCTAATTTCCATTTCGTTCTTCATCTAATTTTCCCCGTGATTCTCCGTTGTAATGGTTTCCAGTGGCCCATGACAACATGAAGCAACGAGTTTCTGACACTCACAGTATGAGGACTCCTAAGCCGTGGCCACCCCGATCCTGAAACGTGGTTTAGGGTCTAGGGTTTAGGGTAGTGTTTAGGGTTTAGGGTTTAGGGTCTCTGCAAACTTTCCCGAATATCCACAGGTCACGATTATCGCCACCCGAACCTGGGATGTAATTTCAGACATGTCATGACCACCAAAGCATGTTTTGCCTGGTGCCGCCTGCGGGCAAGAACAAAGGCTGCTAAGTCATCCTAACAATTGCTTCACGCGATTTGCCCCCAGACTCTCAACTTCTGAACTGGAACAAATATATTTGCCATGCAATGTAGAACTAAGCTGTTGAAAAAGGAGTTTGAACTGCTAGAGGTACAGAGGGTATCAGAGGGTTATATACGGGTAGATAAGGATACATCGCAAAGGGCTCTTGAATAAGGAAAATCTGCGTGCGAATACAAATACAAGTGAACACAGAGATTGTTTTCGGGCCAAAATATGATGGGAATTCAAAGAAGGGACCAGGACTCTGACAACTTACCTGATACAAACCTGGTTCTTAGTAGGGACTATGTTTAGTCTAGGGATTATATAGGGACTATATTCCTTTCTTCCTCATTAACCCTAGACCCTAAACCATGTCTGTACATACAAATTTTATATATGTATTCTTCCCCGTCTTCCCTACTAACAACCAGTAAGAAACTGCAAGCTTGAATAGAACAGATGAAGATGGGATCTCTTCACTAAACACAGATTTAGGATTGCCAAATGTGGGAGGCGGGGAAGATTAGGGATACCTTTAAAGGGTTAATAGGGGGTATATAGGGTTAGATAGGGCTTATAAGGCTGTATAAGGTTTAGGGTTTCCCAAAATTAGGGGTGCCATTTTGGGAGGTCCCCAAAAAAAAGGATTCACATTATTTTGGGGTACATATCCCATTGTGGCAAACTCCCTATCATGGAGGTAACAGCAGCAACAATATGCAACAATACTGTTCATGGATAGATCAATAGCAAGCACAGTCTCAATGCCAGAAAAAAACCTGTGGTGAGCTCCAGAAACGGAGCCTCGTTTCAGCTTGCCACCGTCAAATCAGCAATAGTCTAAACTCCTAGTATCCCCCTTTATAGCCCCTATATTTATCCCCTGTAGAGTCCCCTGTATACCCCCCTTTAAACAACTGGCTTAGACCCCTAAACCCTAAATCCTACTCCCTGAACCCTGAACCCATATACACCCCTTTTAACAGTTCAGACTATAGCTCAAATGTGCCTACGGGAGCAGCTCCGAAGCCTAAACTGTGTCACGGGGCCGCATCTGCTTTTAGTGGGGTTTATGGCTTTCAGGTTTAGGGTTATGACGGGTCGTATAGGCAACGGAGGGTATAAAGGTTAGACAAGCTTATTTAGGGTTATATGGGTTTATATAGGTTTATATGGGGTCATATCGATTTATCTGGCTTTATATAAGATTACGTGCGTTCAGAACCAGAATCAGCTGAGAAGCCAAGCTTTGAATCGATCTGAACAGCTGGTGAATGTCTCCTTGACGGGGTACACACAGGACCGTACGAGCATCAGCAGAAAGGACCTGACCCAGCAATTGGCCGTCCAACAAGCTGGCAGTAGGCGGAATGATGGTCCCAATCAAAGTGGGAGTCAAAAGGCTCAGGGATTAGGGAACCGGATCACACCCATTGTAAAGCGGAAAATCATAAACAAACGGCATAGTGGCAATCGCAACAACGCCGTGCCCCTAATCATCAAAAGTGGCAGAGCAGAAAATAATGTACTCTGCTCTTTTTAAGGAGGAGGAGGAGGAGGACTCCCACGAAGCCCCATGGAGCACTATCAAATTCCAGTGTCAAGATCATATTCCAAAAAAAATCCCTTCAATTTGAACATCCGTATGATCCCTAGATACCCCCACATACCCCGATACGTCGCTATGCATCCCTGCACATTGGCCCCACGCCCGATCGCCATGAAGAATCGGCTGATCACAGCCTCACATTTTGGCGGATTACACAACGACCTTCCCAAGAGTACTCGCTATGAGGGGTATATATCCCTGAAGGCCATCAAATGACTGGTTTTGGCCTCATAGGGCCCCATAAAAGCATGATTCAGGCCTGGTGAGGCATCGATGCCCGGGGGGCAGCTCTTGCGCTGGGCAATCGAGTAATCGTTCGATCCCGAACTCCATCATCTCTGCACAGCAACTTGCAAACTCTAAGCCCCACAAAATCTCGTTGATTGGTACAACTACCCAGCAGTATTTTAGCAGCGATGAAGGAGAAATGCCCCCGAACATCAAGGTTTCCACATGCACCTGGGTCTGCTGCCACGAAATCCAAACAGCCATAGAGGGCCAGTTTGAAGCACGATTCCTCAGAAGAAAGTCAATCAAGTTCGTGCAATGAAAGACGGATTTGCATTGAAATCGAGGCTGCCCTGCCAAGACAGTTCTGAAGGGAAGTCCGTATGAAGAGGCCTAGGCCGGCGATTGTGAAAGCAGAACCTTGAACCCAAGTACCTTAAACCTTTTAAACCCCAAGCTCCCAACCTTCAGCCCTAAACTCAGGATAACGAGGTGCCTCGGGAGGTGCCTCAGGAGCTTCTTTCTGAGCATCCGCTTCAGCCATGGCTTCGCCGGTCAGAGCTTTGTCGGAGTATATCGGTTTAGGGAGTTTTGGGTTTACGGGCTGGTTCATGGTCCAGGGCTTCTTCGAATTCTGTGTCCTCTTGAGGGATCATATAAACTATATCAAGAAGTGTTGAGATGATGGGGTTAGTCCAACAGTCCTTTTGCCTGCATGAAGATGAAACAATGCA